CCGATCTGACTGTGCGATGGGAGTATGGGACTCGCGCATGTCACTGTCACGACTCGTTTTTATTATTGTAATAATGTATAGAACGGGAAAGACGGACGTTTCTGATTTAGTAAAACGCCTAGACGCGATTTACATGTATATTTATATATAATATATTTGAAGTGGGTGTGTGTGTGTAGTACGACTGCTGGTGCTGCCCCGGCGTAAGGCTGCTAATTACAAGGCACTTTGGTGTGCGTATTGTATATAAACGGTCGTGTCATTCCGGTCGAATATTATATATAATAAAATATATGCATCCAATACGTATACCGCGCGCCTTATCGGTCGGCACACATCTCACATATTGTGTGTAATAATGGACCGCCGGGTCGGGACGGGTGTTCGGAACGCGTTGTCGGCGTGCGTTTTCCGGTCCGGTTTGAAAAATATATAATATATGTACCTATACATTGTACACGTGTAATATATCAAAATTAGTGTAACATAGGTACGAACCGAACGCGCGCCTGACCGACGATAGGGTAAAAATTCAAAGCTAAACCGGCAAGAGGGCGAGGACTGTATTGCGGGGTAGGGCGCCGATTGCCTTTTTAAACGCATGTCAAAACCAAAAACGGTTTGGCTTTTAATTCCGCCCGCCAGAAATGCGCGCGTTTTAATAATTAACTCGCTCTTTTAGTTGGCTTTGAACTCTTATGCTCTCGGTCTCTCTCTCCCACTCCCGGCCAAGACAAATTAATAATCTTGTTTCTAATAAGATATGTTTGGTTCGCGACTAATAATATCCGCGCAGTTAAATAAGTCACCGGCAAAAGTGTGCTTCTGGCGGCCGACAAACTTTTCCCGTCGCCGAGACGCAAATAATAATATCGGAAACGTTCGCCCCCTTGACAAGCGAGTGACACGTCGCCGCATATAGAACAGCTATCGTTTGTATATGTGAGTTGTGATTGTCGAACCACTGCCTGTGATTGGGTGTATTACAGGCCAATATAAAGAAGAGTTATTCGATTTGCCGATTACGCTTTTCGCTCGGCCGCGTCCGGCATTTGCAAGGTGAAGAAGATCGAAAAGCGTTTCATAAACTTTCATGCGCTATGCATATTAGATAATACCATCTCTGGATCCCCCTGCCCCCGGCCTACACCCAAGCCTACGGATTGCCCGCGCGAAGTGGTCTCCGTCTGCCGATTAATTTAATATTAAATCCCTCTATCGCTCTACCTCCCCTATCGCTACGGCGACCACCGCCACCGTCGTCGAATCCGAGATTTCGTTTCAATTAACATGGTCTCGGGTCCGGAACGTCGAGTTTAATATTATAATCGTAAGGAGTCTCGGTGCACGCACTCAGGATACGTGTGTATTAATAATCATAACTCAAAACGGCAGCAAAGCCCCCAAAGGGTTTTTGGCAAACGCGGTGTATGCGTGTATGCACGGCGGCGGCGGCGGTAAAAGACGTTTCGCTCGAGAAAATCTTATATACTTATTACTTATTCGACCCTTCTGCCAGGCGAAAGTTTAAAATCCTTCCCGGTCCCCGGCAAAGCCTCCGGGGCCGTTTCTCGGGTTATTATTGTTTCGCCGAATCGGATTTCGATGATGCGCTGCCGCCGTCTTGACATCAACATCTACAACAACAACAACAGCAAACGCAGAAACATCACAACCCCTTTCGACAAATTACCATGACGGGTCGTTACACGCGGTAACACTTCGTCTCGTACTTTTGCGCCAAAGCGTTTAAAAGTAAACACCAAAGTCCTGCGTGGCATTAAATAGAAATAAAATAATTTATTATTATCATTAAGACGAGGAATGAGTAGGAAGTGTGTGTACGCCTCCGGATAAAAATCGCATGCCAACAAAAAAAAAAAAACGTCATTGGCGACCAGACAAAATATTCTGTATTATTAATATTTATAACTTTTTTTTTTTTTTTAATGAAACGCGACAGTATAAAGAAAGGAAAAAAAGGCAAAGAAAATAACCGTACGGAGAATTATCATAATTATCGGATGTCCCGCTGTCGACGATGTCGGGGATTCGCTCAGGGATTAATAATATAAGACGAGCAATGCAATGCAAAAAAAAAAAAAACGGACATAAAACGAAACGAAAACGCGCAGAGAATGGTGTAAGGGGTGCACCGGCGACTACGGTGTATTTAAATTTTAATCAAAACATCCGATTGAATCAATATATAGCCGGCGGAAATGAAAGGGAACATCCTAAAGACAAACAGAGGAGTTTTAATATGCGGGCGCCCGCTGTAGCCTCGGCGGCCGACATTCTTTGCCCGTTATACACATTACCATTATATGATTATATACACAAAGAACGGATTAGAATATATGTATGTACAAGAACGTGTATTTAATGGTGTACGATTCTCGGACTAATGAAAATTCACCCCAAGTTGGCAAGTTTCGCGACGAGAAATCAAAGAAAAACGGACCAACAACGATGGGAATTAATTTTCCAGATCCTTTTTTTAATTTCGATGCTGTTTTTCCAACATAATATAATACACTCAACCGCACGCTGTCTCGGTGCAGATAAGAGTGAAACGCTTTGCCGAATTCGCATCGTCACACGTGAGCGACTTACGTCGTTTCGAACGTCACGGATAATTAATGAGCTTCACTTACCGCATCCGTGTGTCGTTGTACCAACAATTTTATATTCATACATGTGTGATTTTATAACCGGATCACAACACACGACCCTTGATTGTTAGCTTTTTTATTGTTATTATTATTATCATCATCATCCAATCGTATGGCGGTATGGTCGTTTATTAATGGCAAAAGCCTCAAAAACGACGTTTCATAACATGCCACGACAAAAGTGATAATAATACATACAAAGGGTTAAAAAACATACTAACCGTGCTTGAGATTATACAATTAATAAAAGCGTGGAATAATTTCCTTTCTAACGATAAACAATTATCTTGGACTTGCCTCCTCGTTACCTAACTGTCTAAGCTTAGCATATTTTTTTACTGATTTATATTATTATTGTAATATAATAAAATAATAGCTAGTATAAAACCATATTCACGTGGTACGTCATCAAATCAAAAGAAATCTTCTAGTTAGACAGACAGACCAACCGACCGACTTGGTATCGATGGTCATGGAGTCTAACCGTAAAGCAAACCCAAAATTATTACTATCGAAAATTCCTGTAAGTGACAACACGCAATAATATTATAATAGTATTCTAAATATTCCTATATACGGTTTTGAATGCCGGCATACTTCCTCGCCCAGATAACTGCTGTGGACGGTGGGTGTATGATATAGTACTAAATGCGAGAAAAATACAAAAAAAAAAAAACGTTGTAAACTAGTTTTTGTTTTCAATATAAGATCTCGTCCGAGGAGACGCGTCCGGCGATATTTGGGAACCGGTTCAAAATTTACATGTTATCGTACTATCCGTAGTATTGATTGAACGACGGCCCTTCGGCTCATAACATAATATAGTGTTTAAGCCACTTTTGGAGTTCACAAACTGTCTAGTCACGAACACCCTCTTGTCTGTTCATGTATACCTACTATTATTATTATTATTATTATCCGTATATTAATACCGGGATTATTTGCTATTATTGTTGCCGTAGAATAGTTATATTTGCGATACCGCCGGGCCCAAATTTTACATACAATTATAAGTCTACCGTGTGCATGTGCGTGAAGACCAAGTTTTGCACAAAACTCGTTTAAATAATTAAAAACCCGTGACGTCTTCGACGACTGCGGCAGCGGAATCGCTGTATTATTATGTTATACACACTTATATAATATTATGGCGTTTGCCGTCTATAAAGTCTGTAACGACTGCCGCGACGTACCGTATTTCAGTCGTGTAGTATGATTTTAAGAGAAAAATTATACAAGACAAATGGGGCATTATTATTATTATTATTATTATGTCTTAACCGGAAGCTCTCGTATATTTTTTTGCACTGCTCGACCGAAACATGGCGTATCGCGTGACACCGACAACGTCAACAATAATTAAAAAAAGCATAGTTTTAAAAGAAATATGTAAAAGAATAAGATACGTATTCGGACACAAATGATTTATTCGACCCGGTCGGTTATCGTGTATGCCATTCTGCTAACACAAACGAGCGGATTTTTGCCAACAAACACCTACACAATACGTACATTCGTGTAATAACTGCGATGACAAGGGCGATCACGCGACGGACTGTCTTGGCCCGGGACACGTTTCCCGAAGGATATCGTTCGCTTTAAGTTCGCGTGCTTTCTCTACGGGAGGCTATATATGCACATCAGGGCGGCTGACACGGACCGCGTGGTCGGGATTTATATAATGCTGTTTTTGCTGTCTATAAGGACCGATGACGGGACGCTGTGTATAGCTGCTGCCTGCTTCATTGGACTTTTGTATTAGCCGTGCACAATATGTGTGTGTGTGTGTGTGTGTGTAATATAATAACAGTTATTGTATCAACGGGGACGGCGACGCAATATTATATTCACTGACGACGGCGGTGGCGGCGCAGATGGGATCGGAAATTAGTTACTTCCGTTTTGGAGTTTTTTTTTTTGTTGCTGTCCGTGCCGCGGCTGTTTTCCCGTTGTTGTTGTTATTATTATTATTATTATTAGTTATTACGTTTTACGATTATTATTATTTGTATTTGTAACATTCGAATGTCTTTTACGACATGACCGCGCGACGCAAAACGACATTATATCGTATAATAATGTCCCTCCTTTATCGAGTAAAGCCCCCGAAATATGCAGATGTACACCGCCGAGACGTTAAAAGCTTTGGCTCATTAAGACACACGGAAAGGTCTTTTTCGGTTACACTCTGCTCCCGCCGCTCCGCTAATGTCTTAATCGCGCCCGGAATTCCGAAATGTTTTATTTATGTGCGAGCTCGTAGTATTATTCTGTTGCTAATGGAAAACGACCGTGGAATAAAAATTATTGTTGTTTTGCTTGCAGGGCCAACGACGAACGAGTGGGAGACCTCAACCGGGCGATGAACTTCGATCAGAAGACAAGGGACATGAACTCACAAAACGGTAAGCGTCCTACCTGCGCTTTCTAATAGTAACACCAACCTGACACCTTTTATCTGATCCATCCAATTATATAAAATAAAGTTTTCTACCCTGTTTCAATACTCCCAATCTTTTGATATTATATTTTAACTTGTAACTTTCAAGATAGTGGGCGTGACCTAACCTAACCTCGTTGATTCACTCACGGTGTTTCCCTTTATATTTTATCAGTAAATATAATAAAGACAGTTGTTAATATTATTAAAAAAACTGTCGCTGCAGGTTCTTCGGAAGGACACAGTCCAGTATTGAATCTGTCTAAAACTGGCGGAGACCATTCAGGACCAGCCAGCGATCATTCTGCCGGCGGACATACTAACGGAGACGATGAGGACGACCTTGACGAAGACGACGACAACATTACCGACGGCGATGAGGATGACATTAAAGATCACGGTATGACTTTGCTTGTACCTACCTACATTACAATATTATGTCGGGCCATTGAAAAAATATAGTTAAGCCGTAGACAAAATGTGTAAACACAACTACTACTACATTTGACGTGGTTTTTTTTTCTGTTACAGACCTAAGTGACAATCCGGACGTGGGCGGCACCAGCAGTGCACACGGTAGCGTTACGCCACCGCCGCAAGCCTTGAACTTTGGTTCTGCCGGATCCGGTGACATGGGTTTGCCCTTCATGACCACCGAGTCGCTTCTCCGGAAAATCCAGGCCTTGTTGAAGGCAGCCGCCGACAAGATCCGAGACGACGACCGCGCGTTGAACTTTGAAAAAGGTAAGACTTTTAAGGAACTTTGTAAAATCGATTAAAAAAAAAAAAAAACCATCACCCATTTAGAAATGTGTACAAAGTGTGTATGAGAGATGAGGTCGGTCGCCTGTGCCCCGGAGCTGTAGACCGTGTACCAATTGCAGGCGAAAAGTGATTTATAACTCTCGTAACTGAACCGCGTTTAACGTTGGACGATGCGACGGTCTCGAGCAATCGGACCGTAACGAAAAAATTATTGTATTTTATTTGTTTACTTTTTTTTTTAAACCGCTATTATCGTACCGCTAAATAAACCCGGTCGATTTTGGACAAATAATTTACCAAACGTTCCTACGCAAAACAATAATTCACTTTAAGCGGGCACGTGATCTTCGCGTCTGTCCGATGAAATAATCTACTTGACTATTCGATTATAGAAACCCTGTATATGTAGATTCCAGCCGTTCAGTCTGGTGTTCCGCACTGACAGTATTGCCCGTGTCATTATAATCCTCTTTAGACTTATTATGCATGCGTTCAACAGTAGAAGCATGGGACAAAATAAGCAAATAAATAAATAAAAAAATTAAGAATGGTTATCGGATCCGGTCAGCTGAGAGAGATTGGAAACTGCATTAACTGTTAGTATATGTTTTTTTTCAAAAACAAAACAAACTCCAAACATGCTCGGTTGATAGACGGACTGGTTCTCAATGTGCCGGGCACGCCCACGATAAATCCACCAGTTTTGCGTTTTGTAATTAAACCGCCAGAGAGAACGCGCCTGGTAATAAAACCATTGATACAGTCTGGTCGCCAATAGTTATACCGTGTGTGAGTATAATTGATACGTCTGTAAAATTTACCGGACTTTTTTTAATTGCCCTAGCCGGAACTAGTTTTAATTTTAACTTTTTTTTTAGAAATGGAACGCGATAAATTCAATATTTTAATATACATTAATAGCCGTATGGAATTACTGTTATTCGGACTCCGCCTAAACGCGTACAGATCTCTCGTGGCGCTTGCAATCGTACCGGAGATAGACATTATATGAATATTTTAGACACTGTAATATATAGAGTGAGGGGGAGAAGGACAAGAATATAATAAGCAATAAAAAAAGAAACAATTTCACCGGGTATAAATTATTATATTGTACTCGCCCTAAACGCGCATTATTATAATATGTGTTTGTGTGTGTAATTGGCCTAGGAGCGCTGCACTAGTCGCCGTGTGTACCACTTATTCCCATCACGAACTGACCTTTAAGTCGTGTTCTCCTCCTCGCTTCCGACCCGCGGTAATGGATCATTGGTACACACACACACACACATACACACTTACATTTATACAAATTATCGTTTTGAAAAACGACCGTTTTCATTAAATTACACACACGAAATTATACCAAAACCGACAGACGTTTATGTGAACGAAAAGACACCTCGGTACCACCTGCGTGTGTGATTTTTTTGACTGTATTTCATATGTATGTATATTATATGTGTACGATTTTCGTTTCGTAATTTGTTTTCTCTCGAACTCGTGTATAATGCGTGTGTATAATATGATGTGTGTGTGTGTGTGTATAAACATAATTCCACAAGGAACAAACACAACGATTCCCTTCAATCAATTCGGCCGAAACGTATACTTAAACGCAACTACACAGTCCCATTTCATTTTGTCGGGCGACGCCCACCGTTTTCGTGGTCTTCAAACAGACACAGATCCACTCACGGACGAGTCTACCATATATATATAACATTAATATCGGACCTCTCTCGGGCCGTATACGAAATGCCATTTAATATAATACATAACGATTCGGTTTTTGTGATTGCTCCTCGTGGCACGAAAATTACCTCTTTACCGGCCGGTCTGTCTGTCTGTCTTTGGGTTGAAAAACAAATGCCCTCCGAGGGCTGCCCGCGTCCACGAAATTAGGGCTTATTATCTTGTACCTACACGGCGCCCGTCAAATAAACCGTCCTCATATATCACGACAAACGGATCATTTGTATCGACATTGCTGCCTCCGGGTAAGACAGTCGACGATTTGTAGTTTGTACCGTAACAGCTCAGAGCCGTCGAAAAATCAAAAAATGTTCATAAACATTATTATACAACTAATAGTTTTCCCCTAGTACCGATTACTCTACTATCCTTTGTGTCCTCACTCCTGAAAAAAATAACGGATCCAGACCAGGCTTATGGGCATATTTCGTTCCGTTTACCTCCCTTTGGCAATGGCGCGTAACCAACAAAATACCAGCATCGCACGAATTATGTTTTTAAACCGGCAACGCCTAAAGAATACTAAATAAAAATGGAACAATAGCAACTCGTGTGTGTAATCGTGGTAATACTTTGAGCACTAACCGTTTTTTTGTAAGTGTTACTTAGGCACTGCCTTAATCCCATCGGTAGTGTTACCAGAAATCGACCAAGGGATTTATTTTTAAGAAAGATAATAGATTTGGTTAAACCGTGAAAAAATAAAGACCAATCACTTTTACCTTTAAGGTTAGTAAATAAGCTACATACAATTCTTCATTAAAAAAATGCACACATTTTCTCTTCTATTATAATCGGTATTTTTTCATTTTTTTTTTCTTTTTCGTCAAATTTTATACAAACAATAGACCCCGGACGATTAATACCAAACGGAAATATTATGTCTGGAAGGCTTGGAATAGGTCGTTTACACTTGGGTAGAAGGTGACCCGTCGTCTGGCAAACACAACACCGATATTCACTTAAAACAGTGGTTGTTTTTTGTAATGCTCGGACAACATTTTTGCCGGCCGCAGTAGTACTTTCTTCTTATTATTCTACCTCGTGCGCCTCACAAGAAGTCTCCTTGTTTTTTTTTTTGCGCCCCTTTAACCACGATTCTCCTCTACTGTAAAAACCCGGAGCTGTGATCATGATAATAATGTGTAATATACTCTAGTATATGTTCTTGTTCTTACTGTACAGTGTATCACACTCGACAACGTTACAACCGAGCTCGGATTTATTTCTTTTTCATAGTAGTCGTCGGCAAGTAAATGCATTCTCCGCGTAAGTGTGTGTATTAACTAACACATACCTACCTATAAAACACGTTTTACAGAAGTACTTAACCACGTTTGTCGCCCACCTTCCGAGTATTAATAGAACAACAACGGCAATCTTCTTTTTTTTTTTAATTTCGTTAAGGGCGGAGTGTCATATCGATTATTAAACGCCGTTAATATCGTCCAATGTTCGTCGTCCGGCTATTTGTTTTATCTACCAATAATAATAAAAAATAATAATATTATATACAAGAGTAGCATTTTTCGTCGTTGTAAAATAATACATTTTCATAATCTTCTTCTTTTTGTTTAAGAACGGGCCCGCTTCTGTTGATGTAAGTTATGCGATAATAAAAAAAACTACGGGCGGCTGTGACAAAGTCATTCGAGTAATATATTACATGTATACTCTGCGAGCAGTAGTGACACACCACCGGGTACAGAACGACGAAACTAATGGGCCCCAAACGCTACTTAAACGAATTACACGAGCACGCCTTGTCATTTTATCGATGCAAAAAAACAAAACAAATTATTACTATACTGTAAGATAATATAGGTACTCTAACTAAGTTCTCTGCCTTTTTAAACCCGCGGAAGTTATTCAAAACGCTCCCGGGCTACCGTTGTATTTCGCCGAATATACCGTCAGTGCGTTAGTATATAAATGTATACACGGGTTATATTATTATTATTGTGTGTATATATGATAATAGTATTATATTATGATGTACACGGTGCGACTGTCTCAAATGGCGGGATGTGTGTGCAAGAGAAAACAGCCGTGGGTGACTAACCGACAAGACCCTAGAAATAGGGATTAACACACAATACACTCAAAAGCACAACTCTACGGTACAAGAATACATAGTTTATACTTAAGCTGTGTATTATATTTATATGTATATATATATAAGTTGTACTATTATTTTACATACGGTCTACATAGAATGTGCACGACATGACCGCATCGATACCCGTACCGAGTTAACCGAATTGTTGTTTTTGTGTTACAGCTGAGTTAAAAATGGACGTGCTCCGTGAGAGGGAAGTCAAAGGAAGCTTAGAACGACAGTTGGTCGACGCCCAAAAACTACGGGGTAAGTACACCGACCGTGTTTTTTTTTTTTTTTGTTACAGACACTTGAAATCTCATTTTACGGTCATATTATTATTTACTCGAGTCACCCTTTTTATTATACATAAATATATTTTCAATATAACTAGTTAAATATTTCCACCGCATTGCACTATACCGCTATAAGGGTATGTGTTGTGTACGGTTGGCGGTGTGCGGTTACTATTTTACCGACAAAATTCGTTGAGGGTGGTCAGAACCGATCGGAATCATCGTGGTCCGCAACAACACAATACATTCGAGTATCCTGTTTAGGATTAGGTTACAATAAATTATCTATATAGCTACTATATACCTTTTTGTACCACTCGCTAATTCAGGTATAATGTGCAGCGCATCCGATGGACCTTGACCGCCCCTCATAAGTAATAATATTGTTGTGTTTGACACACAAAAAAACTCCATTTCCACACGCAATACATTATAACATTATTATAATACACACACACACACATACACTAAAGTCAAGGAAGACATAACACACATACACACACACAAAGTACTAAGTAGAAACATAATATCTTATAATATTGTATTATGTAATATAATTATTATTAATATATAAACGGGATATTATGTTACAAAACAATATGCGTGGGGGTGTCGTCTGTTGTGTGTTGTATATTATATAGCTGCTGTTGCCGATCATTGGATCGCATTAGCATAAAAACAAAACGTAACGTTTCCCCACACGGATTTCCGAATCGTTTGACAGAGTACATAATAATGTATTGTGTAAACGAATACTCGTCTTGACGGTACTGCCGGTCTGTTGTTCTGAAAGCTATTTCTCTCTGTCCATCTATCCGCTCTCTTCACATATTGACCAGTCCATTTAGTCTATTGCGAACATATCGGATGTCGTGCGCACCCGGTCAAGAACGAAAAATACCAATTGGATTTTCCTTTCACCTGAAATGCTCGAGCGGTAACCCGATTCCCTCCTCGGGACGGGCAGAAGCTTTTAGACTTAACCCGCGTCCGTCCGTCAATCCGCCGTCTGTGTGTTTTGTGACAAAAGCCTCTTGTCCGGCAGGCGCATCCGCTCTACAGCGTGCATTTTTCTTTTGAAGTACATTAAGTGTGCGATAATAACATGATACGCAAACTATATATATATATATATATATATATTTATATGCTAGACAATCGATAGTCGATCTGTGTTGATTGGGTTTGTATTTAATTATTGGCCGTCGCCCGATCAGGTGGTCGATAACCGTTTGCAGCTTTGCCCGTTGGCGTTCGTCTTGAATTGCCAGCATATCGCCATACAAACGCTATGAGAGTGTGGGGGGAACGCCGGGGAGTTGGTTTCATTAAGGAAACGGCTGAGTGGGCGACGATCATCTCTCTCGTCGGAATTAAACGCTAATTAGATCCCAAAGGGGCGACGAGAGGAGCGCATAAATCACTCACCGCTGATTGGACAATTGACAGGGACACGGCCGTTGATTGGCAACACTGCGACCCGAGTACGTTAATGAGTCCCCCTCTCACCATTACCAACATTAATCCGTCTCCTATTCGTTTTATTATTAGCACGCTTATTGCATGTGTGTGTGCTGTGTAACGCCCGAGATCAACAAAATGTTATCATAACTTTGTAAACTCGCTGTAAAGAAATTTTCAATAACGCATAAAATGTACATACACATTCGAGATAATTTTTTTTTTGCCCCTATCTGAACTTAAATTAAAGGACCGAGGCGGGCACTTTACAAAATGTCAAGAAACTATTTCGGCTGACCGTTGTTCAGATAACCTTTTAAAATCTAGTGCTGACGACCGACATACGTTCATATTTTAGTCGACCGCCGCCGTTCGCGTGCCATTCAGTCAATACTGTTTTGCGCGATATTTCTCAAAAAGCGCGAGCTCCTTTGTCTTCCACGTTGCTCAAAGAACGTTTAATAATTACCTAATTGGTATTTGCCTCCGGCCAAAAACGAAATTACCCTCTAGCTCGTCCGGTGTTTGCGAATAATATTCTTGGCCTCCGAATCGCATAGTCTTTTTGGTGGCCTTTTATTTAATCGGTAAATGCACGACAATGGAAACCATACATGTATAATAACCATTGTCAAAGTAAGCCCCAACGATCGCGATGTCTGTTGTATTATACTTCTACTTATACCTACTCCCTTTCTTATGTTATTTTACAAGTCAACGGCGGTGGCGGCCGGCTGACATTTGCAAAGGTCGTTTCCGCCTCGGGTCTCCTTAGACCGTGAAGTTTTCCTTTTCCATTGCGGCTTCTCCGCGTGTACACAAATACCAAGGGCCCGCCATCATCGTGTGTATAATAATTAACTCTCGGCAGGAGGAAACGATGTAATATTGGTGTTATTATTATTATTATTATTTTCGTATCGGCAGTGCATTTAACACTGTGTAAAAGAACCAACCTGAAAGGAAACAATTATTGTACTCGGGAACACTGCGGCACGCGGGTGTTTTTGTTGGGGGCCAAAAAGTATAGAGATCAAAAAGAGAAGATATGGAAACGTTTTAATAATAACTGCAGTGCAGCGACGGGCCCAGTGTTTAACCCTTTCGTCTTCCGCCGCCACTGCGTCCCCCGTAATTAACCGACAAGACAATGGGGGAAAGATGAACGGCGCACTAGTCTACAATAGCCATCAATATTTTTTCCTTCGGTCGTGGAATGCAATAAATGTAATTAAAGTACTGGCTCCCCGTCAACTTCTAAATGTCTTTTATTAAAAACCGTTTTCAAAATATCTATATCATAAAAGGGTAGATACACATATATTGGTTCGTACTTTGTTCTTGCCAAAATTCCAAATTATTTTATATTTTATTACTTACAATTAGTGCTGTAGTCAGTTTCAGATATAGGCACGTTTTATAAAAATGTATAATAATATAATGAACTTACATACATATAGTATGTTTCATTCCACCTGCCATCAGTTGAAGCTCAAGAGTAGAGGTTTTATTATTAGGAATGAAGGTATTAGGTAGCTTTACCGCTCTGGTTATACGATAGCAAAATATACAATAAATTTCGTTAGCATATTAAGAGACTTCTACTAAAACACTATCCAACACTGGTCCAGGCCAAACAAATACGTTAAACAGGGTAATTTACTTTTTTGTGTGTTTTGTTTTACACTTGATTGGACAATGCGCATATTATATCTGATGCTTGTTATATGTTATTATTTTTGCGCCGTAATTTGCTATAATTAACACTCGCAGTGTAGTTTACAGAGGGGTGAGGTGCTATAATATTGTAGGGGCGATGGTGGGGGGGGGGGCGGGAAGTGTCTAGTTTCACAAGCGTTTCCGGTCTGCCGCGTGACATCTGAAAATCCGCTTCCGTTCGCGAGTCACGTACACATTGCCGCCGCCGCCGCCTTGTACTTTTAATGCCACGCCGCCGTCGGTGTTCGATCGGTGCAAAGTTTATATTACCATTGGAGAAGACTTAACTGCCGCAAATATTCAAACATGAATCATCATTACCGAGACCGGCACGCACGGCGCATATCATAACGTCGCGGTCGAGACATCAGCCTATATTATTATAATAAAAATACAAACGCCCCGGTTCCAATGGCATTTACTAAGTTCGACGGGGGATGAATGGGGGGAGGTTATGTTATAAATAAAAAAACAACGCTAATGTTACCGAGAATTTTATTTTTCGTCCGGCATAAATCCCGACGACGGCGAGAGACTCAGGATTATCTTCGCGGCATCCCGGGTAGGCAATCAACCGTACACCGGAGCGCTGCTGGAAGCTATGCCCCACCTAGTCTGACAATCGCTTTGGTAAACGACGGTATAGCCAGCTCCGGTCGCCAATAGTAATAATAATAGCAATCCGACTCTTCTTTTGATGTCCTTACCACGAGGCGTGTGTGTGTGTATGCGACAACACAAACACACAGAGGCACACGCGACAAGAGGTCAAACGCGCGGCGGACTCTCTTTGCGGTCGCCGAACCGGACCCTTGACCGTTTTGAGTTTCACAAAACCCGTAGACGTGCGGGATGGGGCGTGGGTGGTTTGCGCGGGCCCGTGGGTCTTTTGTCGCCTCCCGATTTCGACCTGTCGACCGGGATTTAATAATAACGCAATTTTAATCGAAGGCGAACGGTCGCTGCTATATACACACATCAAAAGCCCCGCCAGTTGTTTCTTTGTGATCATTTTACGGATGCAAAACCACCCCCCCCCCTCCTTCCGACCCCTCCCCTACCGGACGCCTGAAAGTCGACGGGGGTGTTAAATATTCATGGAGCTCCGGTGAAATCAAATTTACTCTCTTGTGTGGACCCGACCGTTTTTTGACGTGCCCCGATTACAATTATTATTATTATTATTATTATTATTACTCGCCGGCACCGAAAACCGATTAACATTTCACATTTGGCCGTGTGTTTTAACGTCAACGCGCTGCCTATACACGTATAGACATTACGGGTTTCAATTAAAACGCCAATATTACGGTATTATTATACATCATCGTCGACTGCTTCGTTTTTGTTTGAAGCCGACGTCTATCAACGATTGTTAGAGTCGAGTGAGTTTGATTTTAAAATACATATTATCAATGTACGGCGTTATTGCCTTTCGATTACTCAAAAGAGTCTTTTTTCGGGGATTTTAACGCGCCACTTCCGAAATATTAAGCGGCTCGCATAAATAAGCATTATAAAATAATTCCGGAGCCATCCGTTTACCCGCGACCCGGACTGCGAAGGGCGGAGAAGAATCCTCTCATAGATGTTCCATTATATGGAAATATAAATTATATTAAACTTACGCTGCCGTCGTGTGACCATTTTATGGATGGACAAAGAGGGCACGACCGTCGTAAAAGCGTATATATGCACGCACGCACACATTGCATAGCATATATAGACCTTAGTAATAATAATAATAATGTGATCTCGGTTTTATTGTTTTCTCTGTGCCGCGTTGTGTCC